CAGCGTCTGGGGCACTCTAGGCGGCGTCCACCTCATCTTGTTGGCAGCTCACCTACACGATCCTACCTCGTCCTCTGGGTACGAACTGAACTGTTAAACCAGGTTAGTGATTAACGTGTATAATCATCCTTTGTCATGTTATGGTCACTAACCTGCGTTTCTCTCCTGCAGAGGTTCTTGCCTTAGACCCCCTAGCCACTGCATATCTTTAGCCATTTTAAAATAAACGCTATTTGAATAATCCCACTGGCTGTCTTTCCTTAGATACTTCTAGTCTTCTTAAATACTTCTGTCAGAGCTTCCATTCTAAGCCCTGACAGAAGTAGTCACTTTTTCTGCTTCTTTTTGCAAGAGTGGTTTAGCAGAAGAAAGTAATGGTGAAGCTTAAAAGAAAATGTTATTGCTAAACTCCTGAGTTTATACAACGCAAACTCTTTATGCATACAGATAAACATAATTATGTTCCTGTTGTGGATACAGCAGATAAATACATATGACACAGGATCCCATTTTGAGTCATTTGTTTTCTCAACTGATTATTACCCCTTTATCATTCAACTTTTTTTTAATTAAAAGTCTTGTCATTTTTGCTTAGGGCCCATTCACTGCAGCACAAACCAGGGTTCAGCACTGCTTTTTGTCCTTTAGTTGCTCAAACCTCTTTTTGTAGGCAGGGTACAGAGACTCATTAGCTTTCATAGAGGGTCTGCCACAGATATTCTCAGTGACCAAATGTTTTTATTTTTGTTTTTCACTCTACATATATACGTCAGTATTTTTGTTCAGATATAATAATAAAACGATATCATTAGAACTCATAAAGTAGGGCTATCATTTAAACATTATTTTAGCAAAATCCTATTGAACTACTGTATATCTAACTGTACACCAAGGGTTAATGGAACATAAGGAAGAAAAACACTTAGGAGCAGAGCAGACAGATGGGTCTAGAAAGGAGGTGACAAAAGAAAAGGGTATTTAAGCCGCAGCAGTGATTTTTTGATGAGGATCAGCTGGTTGATGCCTACAGCCTTTAGCTTTGGAAAAAAAAAAAGAAGAAGCTAAGGTCAAACCGAGGACATCTGAATAGAGATTAACTCCAACAGGATTCAATGAACTTGAAAACTATCTAACCAGGATCTTCTAAATGAAAATAAAATTAAACCCTGGACACCAAAAGAAAACAAAAAACCGAAATGACCAGACCATGAAAGATATATGGTTTTTAAAAAGGTGTCAATATAAGGATCTGAAAGGGGCATTTGAACCCTGCTGTGGTACCCCTAAACAAAAAATAATGTGAAAAATACTGTCAGTGCTTCCTGAGCAAATATAATCTAATTGCGTTTGGTCTGATCTCAGTAAACATCCGGTTGTTTGTTTCTGTGATGTTTCTTGGGTAATGGTCCAACAAGCTCAAGTGTTTCTTATTGAGAAAGTAGATTTATAAAACGGTATGAATACTGTTTAAATGAGGACTAACTCTTTTTTGTGAATTTTGTCTTTTCCCAAAGTTTTTTCTTTTTTTTTTTCTGAGCCAAAACAAAATAGCTTGAATTTATTACTGCTTCAGCCTGATGAAATGCTGATCTACAGATATAGATGACCTTATACATTAGTGAATTTGGCTATTTCTTTGAATGAAATGAAATCAGACTTGAAAAGTAACAAAGATGTCTTCCAATTTCTTTCTGTTTGTTGTGACACCTCATTTTCTTAATCATCGACTTCAATAACAGATAGAGATAAGCCAAGTAAGCATAACAATCATTTTTAAACATCGATTTTATTAACTGTATTAAGGTGGAAAACCTGTCTAAAAGAAGATGGCTGCATGTGAAATAGGGCCTGAATAACTATTTCCATTTGATAATCTGAAACATTCAATAGTTTAAAAAAATTGAATTAAACACATGATCAAAACACATCTTAGTGAATGCAAAGAAAAAATAAAACATGAACATTTTCTCTTCTAATTTCCTGTTTCAGTCTTTGTAGCATTGAGTCCTGTAATATAAATTGGTTTATATAAAGTGCCTCCTTTAACCCTCCAAATAAAGCAGCTAGACCCATATAAACGGTACCAAAAAATTACCTCCATGCTTGCCTTACTTCACAAGCTAATTCAAAAATTCCAGAACCTGCTTTTAGAGCTTTAACTGACCTTGTCTGTAACATCATGGCCATCAATATAGTGGACACCCTGTTGCTCTTTAAATCCACAGAAAGCACCCTGTTAACTCTACCAAGGTCACAGTTTGTTAAAAAAAGGATGTTTGGGCCTTCTTCATATCAGCAATGCTTCATGGAGCGCTCTCTTCCTGCTAAACTCAAACACATCACATCTCTCAAAACTAAAAACCTTGAAATTCAGCGTTTGGTGAAAGCATTTGGCAAAGTTAGGCATTAATGTCGTGACAATCCCTCTAGTCTGACATTTGTAAAGGAAACAGCTCTACAAATGACTACTGTAATGTGTTATATGAATACTGGAGAATTAAGTCAACATCAATGACTTCATGATGTTGTTGGAAATATGCCATCTAAGACTGAATAATTAGACATTTCTGTCGTCAACAGCTCGTTGAGCTTAGTTGTGAAATGCTCAACGCACCATTTGATAAAACACCCAGTTGACATGTAAGAGCTTAATTTGTTCATCATACTGGACAAATCAGGGGCATGCCAGCTTCAATCACTGTCACTAGCTCTGTGGTTGTTCTCCTCTACTGTAGGTCATTAGACATCATGGAAAATGATAGGAACAGCATTTAAGCACTGAGTTCAGAATATTGTGAGATTCTACAGATCCTGCGACACTGCCAAACACCTCTGCCACCTGCACTTTGATTTCTATTTAGCTTCTGTCTATCTGGTGTAATGCTTGACAGCTGGGTCTTTTTTTTCTTTTTCCTGTTTGCATCTAAAACAGACCAGAAAGTGGGTGCAGAGACATGGTAATTTCATTCCCAATACTTTTCCTGTCAACATTTATTTAAAGTGCCGAGCAATTCCAATGCACTCAGGGTGCAAAGTAAGATTCACTCTCCCAACCAGCTTTTATCCAATTTCAGTGCAGAGGTAGAAAGCCTCTTTAAGGGAGGAAATTATAATAATGCAGCACTGCGTCCCACTGAGACCAGCTGAGGAGACTACTGCTACTGCCATCCGACTGATAGTAATATACTAGTTTTTTTCTCCCGGCTTTTGCTGACATTAACAAGATACGCCTTTCAAATATCATGGCCTTTGGGACTGGGTCAGAGTAACTATTTATAGAAGGTCAAGACTTTATGATAGTGTGCTCGCCAGAGTGATAACTGAGAATAGAGTTGGTCTTAGTTGCTTTGCTGCAGCTAATTTAGTGTCAGTCGTTGCTCTGGGCTTTTGAATGTGATCTAAACACACACCGCATTGGTCAGTGACTACTTACAGTACCATTGCATTGTTTAGTGATACAGTAGTAAGCATGTGTGCGTGCAGCAGTGAAACCTTATCCGCTGTTTAAAATTTGGAATTATACTGCCATTTAATGCAGTAACTTGAATGTCATATCTTATAATGTCATAGCAAGTTTGAATTGCTTTACTTTCCCCAGAGTATTTATTAATGATAGTCCAAAATATTTTTCGTCGACAATATCATGTTTAATCTTTAGAGAGAAGTTCATTAAAACATGAAAAACAATAACCTCTTTTTCTATGGAAAGACATGAAATATATACTTTAATGAGATCAAAACACAGAAAATTCAAAATAAAAATAAAAATTTATGAAACCAGAGAAATGATATAACACCAGTAAATACAGTATAAGCTTAGGAGGAAATAACTTTGCAGGGAATTGCCTCCAAATATTGTGCTGATATTTTATGCAAATGAAAAAAATAAAAGGACATGATAGTGTTATAAAAAGTTAAGATTTAAGATTTTAAGGTGTGACAATCATTTGGCAGTAACACTAACTGATTTTAAATACAGCTGCAAGTTGTTTGGGTCTTTCTCCACCAGCTTTAGCGCCTTAGAAACTACTTGTTTTGTCTGATATTTTTATCTTTTCAGGACGACTCAAGCTAAGTCAAACAGTTTCTCTGAACAGTTTTTATAATTTTTTCTAGTTAAATTTAAACTGGACTTTGATTGGGCCATTCTAACACATTAAAATGCTTTCATCTAAATCATCATCTGGCTGGGTGTTTACAGCCAGCTGCTGCCAAACAATCATTTTCCCCCAAGATTCCCACGACATGACCCTGCTAACATCAAATATCAGTTAGAGAGTAGTTTGTTCATCTCAATTTCCATTGTTTCTTTTTCCATCATTCCTTTGTGTTTTGCATGTTGGTTAAAAGGTTTTCCTTTGGGTTCATAGTTGTCCTGTAAACACATTTTCTTAGCTGTTCAACTCTTCCAGAGTTAGAGAAGGTTAAACTGCAACATTCAGATGGTAGATTGATCAGTTTTCTGCAAACTTCTTTATTACCTGATCTTTCTACCAGCCATCCCATAACTTATCCCTTTTGTTGTGTTCATACTGATATTTTATTCAGAGGTACCTTTGCAATGGAGGCTCAATACAAGTAAGCTTCACTTTTTTTTAGATTTGTATGTAAAAACCTAAAAAAAACTATTACTTTACTCCGTTCACTTCACAATACATTGTTCTTTCACAAAACGTATGACATATATGTTTTTAGTTGTCCTATGGATAATCCTTCAGTTTAATACTATATCTGTTAAGTTCAATATTTATAAAAAAATTTCACTTTACAATGATTCCTTTAAATGATTGTATCATGTTGTGGGATGTTCTGTCCTTCTGCCAGGGACACATCATCCCTCCTAAATAGACCCCTCCTTAGATATTCATGAGACTGGAGTGATGTCCTCTGCCTCAGCATGTTCTCCGAACACTTTATGCAATGCACATAGGCCGCTCCACCCTCTGCTTAATATTAATAACCATGTCTTTAAAAAGCTTGTCCTGAGCCTGAGGTGTTGGGTGCTTCTCTAGCTGTGTCTCTGAGCTTTTTCTTTTACATCCCTACCCGCCTCAGGGAATTGAGCTGCCAACATGTCCAAGCCTCTGTCCGACCATGATAGGAAGAAACAGATTTCAGTGAGGGGCCTTGCTGGCGTTGAGAACGTCACAGATCTGAAGCTGAACTTCAACAGACATCTTCACTTCACGCTGGTTAAGGACAGGAATGTGGCCACCAAACGGGATTACTACTTTGCTCTTGCCCACACGGTGCGAGACCACTTGGTGGGCAGGTGGATCAGAACCCAGCAGCACTACTATGAAAAAGACCCCAAAGTAAGTTACACTCAGTACAGCAGCAAATGCAATCTTATAAACCCATATAAAATGAACCATTAGTGAAAGAGTACAAAAACAAGTATGGTTTTATAACTTTTATGGAAATAATAGTAATAAAAGAGGGAAAAAACATAAGACTGCCTAAAGTTTTATAATAGCTTGCAATTAATTTAGATTTCATAGGTTTTCTTTAGAAGAATGATGTCACAGAGGGGATCCAAAGGGGAGAAATGCCATCCCAAGAACCCCGGTTCCCCCACCCTCCTTCCCCTCATATTACCCCATTATAGCCACTTTATCAATGCCTGGAAACTTTCCATTTTTGATAAAAATACTGAAATCATGCAATAGCCTTTGGGTCATCTGTGCCACCCCCAACACTAAAATATCACATCATATAATACAGCTTGATTATCATTACCTATTACTTTAAAGCATAAAGCACTAGAACAATAAGAATGAGCTGTTTATGCTGTTTTCAAAAATGATTGATTTAATGCCCAAAATGGGGAATCGTTTGCATTGGTATTGAACAATATGTGCACATTCCATTGAAAACGAAGCGAAACATTTTTAATTTTGATGATTTCCACATGAAAGCATTGTTTTCCCAAATACCATCTTTGTATTTGCTCAGAAATTAACAAAACTGTGATACTCCTTGCATAATCATAATAAAGCTATTTATATGCCTAAATCAAGGGGAACACTATGGCGATAGCCGTACTGCTCCACTGGTGAAAGCAAAATCTGTTGCGCTGTTTTTTGGCATCAGGACAATTATTCTTATTGTCACATCGCCACACAGGACATTGTTAAAAAAAACAACAACTAAGGTATTAGTGTAAGTTGTGTTAATTTTTTTTAACAGTAAATAAATGACTTGGACCCCCCAAAAAATCTGATATACTAATCCTAATACAGAGCTCTGTGTGGACCATTCCCTGGAGAGAAGGAACTAAAGAGTGCTCATCATCCATAACAGCCTGTACTATCAGCTAAAATGATGTATACTGTAGGACATACCTGCTTCTAACAAAATGCCAATACTTAATTAAACTAAAAGAAATTGTCATGGAATGCTTAGGAGATAGGCAGTGTGTGATAACTAAGCCTAGAACTATATAGCTGAACCACTAGAACTGCACACTGTCACAAACAGCAACTGTTAGTGCTGTATCCTGCTTTAATAATTATGTTAATTTCAAGATGCAAAATATTTTTGCACACCTTCTTGATTGATGCTTTGCCAGGTAGTGATAACATAGTATTCCTAAAATATAAGTATTATATTTCCATTGTAGATTATTTTACATTGAAACTTTTATATTTTTTATAACCAAAGGTCAGTTTAGGCATCATTGCAAGCTGCCATAAAAAAAACAGGGCGAAACCGAAACACTTGCCCCTGCAAAATCTGAATACAGTAATAAACTGATTGAACTTTAGTGTCTTGTACTCAAGATAAATTGACTGTACTCTCTCTTTGACATCAGAACAGTTTTAACATACTGATGCCAGTATATGCCAGCCATGACATTTAGACTTCAGTAGGGTAGGGTGGGGGTTCTTAGCACTCTGCCGGTCTGCTCCCATTGCTTACAGTGTGTTGAAACACTAAACCCACCCATGACCTTCTGTTCCTGTCCCGTCTGACCGCCAACACGTACTCTTCCTCCTCCTCTTCGCTCAGGTCGTCTGAGCATGTGTGCTCCAAGGACATCCGGAGCTCTCTAGTTGAAACGCAGTTACATTAAAGCTTTATGTCAACAGCCTTCGAGTCATTAAGCAGCTGCTACAGCCAGGAACCTTAGAGAAACAATAAGGCACTGCTTCACTTGAATGAAACAATAAAACTGCAAGCCCCACCACATTTGCTCTTAAAAAATGTCAGCCAGAAAAGTGTGTTATTACAGGCAAAGAGATGAGAAAGGGGTGAAAGTCAGCTCATCCCTTTTTCTTTGTCTGAGAATATCTATGGAGGCTCATTAATAAACTTACTGAATAAAGGAGAGAGAGCCCCCTTTGCTCCTGTAACATCTGCTGAAGCACTGCTTTCAAAGAACCTCCTAGTGTTTGTATGAAAACGTTTGCTCAGAGGTCAGTCGGGTGCAACAGCTCAATACGAAGCATGGTGACACACTGGGGTTCATCTTTAAAAGGTCAAAGGTGAATACCATGCTGGTTTAACTGGAAAGCACAAACAGGAAGGTCATCCAGGCTAAAAAAGGTGCAGACCCTGTGATCTATTCTCTGACACCGATTGCATTTCTTTCTTGGAGAAAGCGAGGAGGAATTCATAAATCAAAAACAACTTGGGACATACTGGTATATGTAATCAAATTAGTCCAGTGCACTGATCAAGAAAGAGCCCCTCTCAGTTTCCTTTGCTGTCCTTTAAATACATTTTTTGAAGCAGTCTCTCTGTCCTCCTGTACTTAAACTCCACAATCAAAGATTATCAGTTTCTGGCTGACCTTTACAGCGACCTCTTTGGGAGCTATTTTTTGCCCAGCCCAAAATGTTGGACGTTATGTAATACCCAAAGCAATCTGTTCCCCTAGTCCCCCCCGCTCTCCCCGCACCCTTCCCTGGTCCTCTTCCTTCCCTCCTATGCCTGTGTGTGCCCTTCCATGTCAGAGTCAAAGAAAAAAACTAACATAATCTAAATGGCAAAGGCTAAACACAGGCTCAGGTGGCACATTTATATGCGCTCCCAACCATGAAACTAAATCATGAAACCTGAAGTTTTTTCTAAGGGTGGGGTGGGTGTTATTTTGACATTTGGCATATGAATTCAAAGGTCCATGGTTTCAATGCCAAACACAGTGGGCACACGGGGGGGTGGGGGTCCTGTTATATTTTGCTGTCATATATGTGCATGCCCTCAAGTGAATACTTTTTGAGCTCCAAACCTCTAAATGTCCAATCGAATCATTTGTATTTTGTATTAAATTTAAGCTTATTTCCTTTCTTTTCTGTCCAATCTGCAGCGTGTCTACTACATCTCCCTGGAGTTCTACATGGGCCGCACACTCCAAAATACCATGGTCAACCTTGCACTGGAGAACGCCTGTGATGAGGCCATGTACCAGGTGAGATAAAGGAGATTTAGTTTACTCCTCCTCAAATTGTCTTTCCAAATAATTTACAAAGGAGCAGCTCTCCTAAAATCCCTGTACCTTGTAGATGGGTCTGGACATGGAGGAGTTAGAGGAGATGGAGGAAGATGCTGGACTGGGTAATGGAGGCCTGGGTCGTCTTGCTGGTAGGTCTTTTCTTTTTAGTTTTGCGCTTTGTACAAGAAAAAGAATTATGAGTCTCACATGAATTGAACACGTTCTCACATGTTCTGTCTGTTGTTTAGCCTGTTTCCTGGACTCAATGGCATCACTGGGTCTGGCTGCATATGGTTATGGCATTCGTTATGAATTCGGCATCTTCAACCAAAAAATCCTCAATGGATGGCAGGTAGAGAGAAGATCAAACTTTGGGTTTATTTCCTGTACAAATGTTCACTCATACAGTACATTATACAAGTTCTATGTAACATTCTCTAAAAATACATCTAGATAATTAAAAATGTCAATTTTCACAACATAAGGCTGTGCACATTTGAAATGATGGGAAGTTTAGTAGAACTAAAGTAAGAATCTAAAAAGGTGAAAAATGATTTGGGCTTTTTTATTCAGTCTACTCTATTCTGAAACCCTAAATAAAAAATATGTGCTGCATTTTGAAGTCACCTACTGTTACCCTCCCCTTAGATTCAGAATCTGCTATTTCTGTCACATTTTTGCACTAAAACAATTAATCTGAGTTTGGTACCACATGGTTTTATATAAGGGCAATAGAGCACCAAGCTTAAGATGAAGAGATTGTTATCTTACAGCATGAGGGAGAATTTATTGACAGGGCATCAGTTTATCATGCCCTGCACCAAAATGGACATACTGTAACAGACCGCCATTTACGGTTTGTCTAAAACCATACAGGCAACACCTCAAGAATGTTTAACAAAAGCCTTTGGGTAGTTAAGAAGAAAATGTGACTTTTGATTATTAATGGATTGAAATAAACATGGGCTCATCTAGCTGAATCCTGTAGCTTACTATCTAATAAAAACCCAAACATACAGTAGAGCAACAGCCACATAAAAAAGTTTTGTAATTGGAGTTGCTTTATCTCATATAATCAACATAAAATTTGGCTATTGTAACATCTGGAAATATTATGAGAAGAGGGATACATAATTTCATAAGACCCTACACTTAATGGTAAATTCTTCTGTTTTACTATGGATCCCCTGGAGGATAAATTTTCTCTGTTATGAAAATGTTCTCTGTGCTTGGCCTACATCAGAAACCTAATTTCGAATTAAGTCCAATGAATGTTTGCCACCTCTCAGGTGGAGGAGGCCGATGACTGGCTGCGCTATGGCAACCCCTGGGAGAAAGCTCGACCAGAGTACACTCGCCCGGTTCACTTTTATGGCAGAACTGAGCATCACCCCGATGGTGTCAAATGGGTGGACACTCAGGTGAAAATATTAACTGAAGTAAAAAAGATCAAAGATTATTCAGGTTATACAGATGTCATTAAACTTTGCTGTCTTTTCATTCACTGATAGGTAGTCCTGGCTCTGCCGTATGACACGCCTGTGCCTGGCTACAGAAACAACGTTGTGAACACCATGAGGCTATGGTCTGCTAAAGCTCCTTGCGAGTTCAACCTTAAAGACTGTAGGTGTTTGACTTTCATGACACGTTTTAAACACCAGATTTTACTTAAACTAATGCGTTCATGTTTTATTTTATCTTACAGTCAATGTTGGTGGCTACATTCAAGCTGTTTTGGACAGGAACTTGGCTGAGAACATTTCTCGTGTGCTTTACCCCAACGACAATGTAAGAAACACTATATTATCCTTTGATGCATTAAAACTAGACCTACTATTGACAGTCATGTGAAAAATGATTACAACTTATGTAAGTCTGGGGTTTTTTCTAACACATTTGAGTATATGGATATTCAATATACTCAGATATTCAATACATAATGTAGTGAAGCTGAATTATGGTCCGATAAAAATGTCAAGATCTATGATTAAAGCCAGAAATGAAACAGAGCCATTCAATTCCTGGCATAAAGATGCTACACAATATTTGTTAATATTTATCATTGACATTGTTATTTATTTTACACAATCAGATCTCTCAATAAAATGACGAAGTTCATATTCACTGAACGTCTTGAATAAAAAAAATCAAAATAATAAATTGAACAAAAGAAAACATCCCTTCAGCCTGTCTTATTTTGTGACAGTGAAATTAGATAAATGTTATGTTGTAATCCTTTAATAGAGAAACAAAATATTGCTGATTTGTGACTAAAGCAAAAATAATTTCAATTATATTTCAATTTAGAAATATTTTCCAAATGAAAATTGGAATTTCATCCTGATTTTATTGTAGCCTCCAGTGCGTCTAACTGGCCGCAGAGACCGTTTAATCACCAGAATAGATCCACCTGTACTGTATGTCATTTAATCCTGGTCCTAATCCTCATCTGAAGGCCTCAGAGAATATTAATAAATAAATAGCATCATGAAGGCCATGGAACACAGCAGACAGTTTAGGGAAGTTTGGATGGATTGATGGATGGGTGTGTGGGTGGAGCATTGTTAAAAGATCCTTTTAACTAACTTAAATATAACACAGCTCATTGCACAACAGTTGCAAAAGAACCTGTCCAAATTTTCACTTTATTCAAGGCTGTGGTAATTATATCAAAACACAATTTTAACTGAATGAAATTCCTGATTTAATCAATAAAAATATCTTTTGAGATCTGTCCTCAGAACAAAAATGTGTTCTTTTTGTTCAGTTCTTTGAAGGAAAGGAGCTCCGTCTGAAGCAGGAATACTTCGTGGTGTCTGCCACCCTGCAAGACATCATCCGTCGTTTCAAGGTCTCCAAGTTTGGCTCGAGGGAGATCGCTCGCACTGACTTCAGCAAACTGCCTGACAAGGTGAAGTGGGAAAACTTGACAGAATTACCTATGTCAAATGTCTTTTATGAAAGAATTTCTGTCAATGTGTTAAGCAGGTTGTAGGTGTGTTTACTGATCCTTTAGAATTATACTTGACATAAAAAAGAAGCTTTGATAGTTTCATGTTAGTTATTGGGGTTTGCATATATTTAATAGAGAAATTATTATCTGCTCATGCAGGTTGCAATCCAACTAAATGACACCCACCCTGCAATGGCTATTCCTGAGCTGATGAGAGTTCTTGTTGATGAAGAGAAGCTGGCTTGGGAACAGGTAAATTGGGAAAATTTTCTATTTTTATTTGCTTCATTTTTTAGAAGTTTGTAAGCATGTTTTCTCCACAGGTACAAATCAGTGACTAAAATATCATCAAAATTATTTTGGATTTTATTTATTCTATATAACATGTGAAGATGAGACACGTGGTAATGCATTTATTTTCTTTATTTATGTTGATAACAGCTTTCAGTTTTGATTAAAGTAGTGTTTTTTTTATTATATTACATAAGAGTACATTTAAACACATACTGCACATTATTACCATACAGTATCTAATCATTGGAAAGACTGCAGATTTTACATTTGTCTTCCTCAAGCAGGTTAAGCTGCAAAGAGGCAATTCCTACAGAAGTATTGGTCTAATAGTAGGTAGCAACTGTGCACAAGCAACAGGCATAACTGCAGCTTCGACAGGGATTGGGAAACAAAGCCCCCTGAAGAATTAGCCAGAGATTTATGAAGTCTGGATTAAGCTAGAAACTAGTACTTTATGAGCCTCCATTCAAGGTCAGTTAAGGATGAGGGCTAGAACTACTGAATCTCTTGTTATGCCACTCCTGAAAGATCAACATCAGAAGAGTCTTGCCGGTGCTCAGGAGCAAAGGATCTAAATAGTTCTTAGATAAAAGGACAGCATTTTATTTGCTTAGGCTCTTCTGTGAGATTTTCACAGTCAGTGAAGACTTAGGGAGCCATCATCTACAGATGTTTGTCCACTTATAGAAACAAAAGATATGTTTCCTTCTTACTGTCCCCACGTGGGGCTCCAGAGGATTGATTACTGCAAAGCCCTTGACTCACAAAGATTTTAAGGTCCTCTTTACATGAATGACTTCAGATCAGTGGTGTCTAAACTTTTTACTACAAGGGCCCAAATCCTCAAATTGACTTCATTGTTTGTGGGACTTTTTTTGTTTTGCTTTTTTTTTTTACTGAACACCCCAGATAATTTGTGAATTTCTTTTGCCAGGTAAAATACATCTGGGACATTTACAAAAATAGTGTATCTTTGGGTGTATACACTGTAAATAATTGTAACTGCAAAAAAAATACATTAAACTATTTTTATTTTCTCAGGGAAAAATAGTCACTCTTCTTAAATTTGTTATGTTTAGTCAAGTTTAATCACTTGATTAGTCGCAGATATGGTAACATCTTTGCTTGAAAAAGGGGTCTCCACCTGCATAAAGTTACTGCAGATGAGCCTAACTATTCTAGTTACTGCAGATGAGCCTAACTATTCTATTCTTAATTCGAATTCAACCCCCCCATTATTATTTCAAGAACCTCAAATGGCCCCTGATCCACATTTTAGACACATCTGTTTTAAACCAGTGAGCTTCCTAAACTGAATAGGATTGTTTTGCCTTACATGTGGGATCAGATCGGCCTTTGTTATTTAATCTAATCTCATATCACTGAAGTCTACTGGTATAAATGTTAATAAGTTATTAGTCAGTTTGTATTGTACTGTTCACCAAAGATTACATTTAATATACATTAGTGCAATAGCTAAGTATTGATTGTAAACATTAAGAAGTATACAGATATAATTTTCAGCTTACTCATATTTCGGCACTGAAAATTATTTTTATTTTTATATAACACTGTAGGAGCCAATTATTTTTTCTTAGTGATTAAAAATGTCTTTTGTTTTTGTGCATAATTTAGCTAAGTTATTTAATTTATTGTTTAATATCTGTTATGAGATTATGTTTTTTGGTCATTTAGTCATGTTCCTTTATTTTTTGGTTAGTTATGATTAATTTAGGTTAATTATTTTTTATAAATAGGCAGTCAATGGTAGGACCAGCATGCGTCTGGGTGGGTGTATGGTTTTTTACCAGCGCAAGAGAAACATGGAGGAAATGTTTTTTTTGTTTGCTTGCCTGAGGAAAAAATAAACTGAAAAAGCTAAGAGAGTTTACCTGGAAATTTTTTTCTTTTTCCCTGCGTAAAATAAGTCCATGGTGCATCTGTGGCCTTTGTGGACTTCAGAATCAGAATCAGAAATACTTTAATAATCCCAGAGGGAAATTCCTCTATTTTGTGTCATCAAAGCTGAGCCACAACAAATACTACAACGTTGGGTCTTATTTAGAGACATGGTCATCTTCCCTTTAACTAAATTACTGAATAGAATTATCATTTTGATGATACTACAATATAAATGAATGCAATAAATCTGTATTTTAATATGATGAAGATAATAAATGAAGAAACAGGAATGCATGAAAAAGTAAAGTAATTGTTTTCTGTTGGTGCTTCTGAGGCCTGGGATATTTGTGTGAGGACCTGTGCCTACACCAACCACACAGTCCTTCCAGAAGCTCTGGAGCGCTGGCCAGTAGACCTGTTTGCCCACCTGCTGCCCCGTCACCTGGAAATAGTCTATGAGATCAACCGTCGCCACCTGGAGGTTGGTACTGCAAACTGCAACATCTGTTCAGACACAACAAGGATTTGCATCCAAAAACATCTTTGCCAACAAAGCTTGAGAAAACACTCTGTGATTAAATAGAACTATTATTTGTCTTTACATAGTCCATTTAGCCTTGGATTAGGATATTGAAATGAAACTAAATATGTTTAATCTCATAACAAGAATAAAAAGAGAATTTATATAACACTAAAAGCAGAGCAACTGTCATTAAGTAATTTATGTTTTTATCAAAGAGACTTCTCAAAAATAGGGTGCATTCAAGCGCTGATATACTGGAATATTAAAGCCTTAAAAATAAAATGATGAGTTTTATTTTCAACATCTGTCAGAAGAAAACTCCTACATCCCCGGTGAAACAAGACAAAAATGTTTCTGACATAAAGTGGTGGGCAGAGCTGCACAATAAAAAAGAAAAAGAAAATGCTTTCATCTGAAGGCTTTCATCTACTCACACTGATGAAAATGGTCCTGATGCTGGTAACGTGTATTGTGAATTCACCGTGTGACCTTTTGTGTATGGACAAAGACCAGCTTTGATGTAGCAGGAAGAAATTGTTATATGATTCTTTTAGTAATCAGGAATTCCTTTTGATTTTTGTAGAAAGTTGCTGCCAAGTTTCCAGGAGACCATGATCGTCTTCGCCGGATGTCGCTGATTGAGGAGGGTGGGCAGAAGAGGATTAACATGGCCCATTTGTGCATCGTTGGTGCTCACGCTGTTAACGGTGTAGCCCAGATCCACTCTGATATCCTGAAAGCTACGATGTAAGTAAACCAAAAATTTTTTTTAATTAGTATTTAATTACTATCCCATAATTAAGTAAAAAGTCACTGTTTTGTGTTTTGGGGATTTATGTAATGGAGCAGCAAAAAGCAGAGAAAACGTGATGAATGAATGATTTAAAAAAATTTAAGAAGGATCGGAAATTTTGTTTACCTCATTCACACCTTCTTGTCTGTGGCAGCATCATGCTATGGACAAGCATATCTTCAATAGGTACACTGAAACTGTATTAATTGTATGTACAATTGAAGGGAGGTGAATGTTTTGCAATAATGTAATAAAACCTGTTAAAGGCACGCAGAAAGAAGGTGGATAATTGCAAAAAAAAAAAGAATATTTAACTAGAATAGTTTTAGTGGGATTTAAAGCATTTCTTTTTTTCAAGGAATTCGAGACAGAGAGGCAGCAGCAGCTAAAATACCAAAAGATTCATAATAAATAAAACAGAATTGTTTAGGAAAAAAATCTATAAAACCTCTAATTGTGAGAATCTGACAAAGCTGAGCTTTTTGGCAAAAAAAATATGAGAAACAGACCTCAAGGAGTATGAATGCTTTATCAAGACATTGTATATGTAATAGTTATATTTAGATCATCAATGTCAAACAGCTTTAAATTTCCTCTATGTGTTTAATGATATGAGATGATTTCTTTACCCTCCAGCTTTAAGGACTTCTATGAAATGGAGCCCCACAAGTTCCAAAATAAGACGAACGGCATCACCCCTCGCCGCTGGCTGGTCATGTGCAATCCCGGGCTGGCTGAGGTCATTGCAGAGGTCAG